CCCGAGTAACCAATTCTCTCTCAAACAGTTGCTAAGGCTTTGGTCGAGATATAAACTGGACCCTTTTTCAACTTTTTCCGAGCAGCAAACTGATGAATAACATCTTGAATCCCAGCAAATGCAATCAAGAATTCAGCTGCGTCAACCTGGTTCAGTACCTTCTTCTTAACAAGCTCCAATACTTTGTTCCTATAACATTTCCAATATATATTAAGGATGTTTGTAGTAAAGAAACAAATTCAGTTGATTATTCTAGTTGGGAAAAGAAATGAAAAGAATTAAGAGTTTGGATATGAACCTAAGTTGTTGGGACTTGGTAATCACTTGCTTAATCTTCTTGAGCTGAGACTGAACACAGTCCCATGAACCTATGGATGAGCTTCTGGCCTTCTTACTTTGCTTGAATGGAAGGTGGAGGATACATGTAGCTTGAATCTCAGCCATCTCTTCATCAATTATAGCCTCTTCAATGCGGATTTCACGAATGAGCTGTGAGAGGATCCTGCCAATCTCAGCCGAGTCAGCAGTGGAAGAAGAGAAATAAGAGGAACGTGCCAAAGATCTAAGGAGATCTAGGATGGCTGACGGTCTCCAATCCCCCAGCCAGCCGACAGCAACCATTTCAAGTGGTGGGGTCCATAAGGGCGCTAGCAATTGGGAGACATCCTCGATTTTGGTAGGGATCACGCCCTGGTTATAGTGCTTGAATTGCTTATCAATTAGATCCTCTAAAGCCCACCCTGCCTTCAGCTGCCTCCTTATAGTTGCTGCCTTATTCTTCTGTTCTTGGCCTTCTTGCCTCCCTGCAGGTCCTTCTGATAACCAAGTACTTGTATTATTTATCAGCAAGAAATTTCTACATCTTTACCAATCAAATCCTTAAGGCCAGTTTGAACAAGAGACAATACTATTATATGTCCTGATTTAATATAATGGTATCATTTGAAAAATAACATCATACTAAGCATACTAGTTTTGTTATTCATGGCCAAGAGTGTTGAGAAACTTGAATTACCATATAATAACCATGCCTATGCTATTGCTTCTGCTAGAAATTTCAAGACCGCTGCAAGTTTTGCTTTAAAACATGATCATTGCTGATATATGTAGGACAAGTAAGTCTGGGTTCAAGAATATGCATGATATCATCTACATACCCTGTATGATGCCAGAATCCTTTTATAAAGGAGTGGACAGATATTCAGGATTTTATAGGCCAAGATTAAACTTGGATGGATATTGTTTAAGAATTCCTGAGACACACATCAAAGGCGCGTTTGGCAGACAACATGATACAGCAACAACAGATGAGTGTCACATAATTACGTTAATTCTCATTAGATCTCCTTGTGTACTCCGTATAAATCAATGTTAATAAAATAAGGGAAATTATCAATGATACCCTCGTAGTTTTGACTTTTATCAATGATACCCTTCATCAAACTTTTATTATCAGCGGTACCCCTATAATTTTACCTTAATTGCTGCAGTAATCATGACGTTAAACAAACGTTAAGTTTGTTCATTTGATAGGTTTAATGGGCTGACTTGGATTGACAAAAATGCCCCCCCAACCCCAACCAACATCATAATACTTCAAATTTTATCGTTCATCTTCTTTGAAATTGCTCCCCTGTTCTTCTTCTTCTGAGTAACCCTAACTAACGCTAGAGTGAAGCAAGATCCTTGAAGATTTAGCGGTTCTTTGCAATTCTAAAGATTAGTTCTTACTTCTCTAGTGAATTTTGAGAATTTTGTTAAAATTGTTAGGTTTAAGGTAATGTATGCACCTTTGTGGAATTTGTTTGATTTTGTGTACAATTTACAAGTATTGTTGGATTTAGCTCTGAATTATGCTCAATTTACGTATGATCATGTTAGCTTGCTAAATTTTTAATCTTTTCAGATATTAAAATAGAAATAAAAAAATCAGAAAGGGATGAAAACAAAAAGAGGGGGTGAAGGTTATATAGGAAAGAAGGAAATAAAGAAATAAAAGGAGGGAAAACTTTTGGGATTTTTGGAGGGAGATTAAATGATAGGGGCATTTAAGTATTTTCACATTCCCCACCCCATTAAACCTGTCAAATGACCAAACTTAACTTTTGTTTAACGTCATGATTACTGTAGCAATTAAGGTAAAATTATAGGGGTACCGCTGGTAATGAAAGTTTAATGAAGGGTATCATTGATAAAAGTCAAAACAACGAGGGTATCATTGATAATTTCCCATAAAATAATAAAGCTGAAATGTAGAACATGTTAAAAAAATCTTCAAGATTTATGAATGATTTCAGTATAAGAACTGGGGAGCTACACACCATCATCCATCTAGAACAGTAGAAATACTATGAAGCATTATTTGTAATTTGATAGCAAAGATTTGTATACCTCATTATTTCATTCATCAGGACTAATTACCACCTCGTAATGTGGCTATTACTCTATTTGCCATGTTGGAAATTAATACAGAAAACATGTCTGTTAAAGAAGATGCACTATGTAAGAGACATCAAAACACACTTCATGTTCAAACTACACTCAAATTTTACTACTACGTAGTTCATCATACATCACCTATTCACCTCATCCCAAATGGAACATAATGAAACTCGAGTTTGCCAACGAAAATGTAGTTCAATAGTGAAACTTGAAATATCAGTCTAAACCGAGAGAGTGAGACAATAAATTCAGTGGTCTTAATCAAGTTCACATATACCAAAATCAATTTTTTGAACAAAATCCAAGTAAAACAACAAAGCTGAAAATCATATCACGAAGTGCATCGATATCAATACACTCATTGGTCCTAATATAAGCAAGAGAAGATTCATTATACACACAAGAAACTGCACTACCCAATCTGATCAGTGACCACCCTATGAAACAACTATCACCATTCAACCTTCCATAAAAAAATTCTGTTTTTTCTAACATCAATTTCCAATTGAGCCCATCTGAAATCATGCAGAAATTATCAGATTATGCTTCAGTTGGCTAGTTACCAAAACTTGAGTACATTGCCTTCTATTCTTTCACAATCATTTAGTTGCCGAAAAGGCGGTATAGCCAGTCTTGACTCTTGATTAATATTTAGCCATGCCAATAAGATTAACAATCAAGATAAACTTAAAGTGTACTTCAATTCAAGGACTTTCAAACCCTAATCCATAATTTCATTTACAAGGAGACTAATCAAAATTAAACCAAGAAATTTCAACAAAACACAAATAACAACAACCAAATTAACTAAATTGCATAATTTCAAAGCAAACCCAAAAAAATGAAGAGAAAGAAAATGAAGGTTACTTTTGTGAGAATGGCGACGATGAGAATAAAAGGTAATGCAACGAACTCTGGCATTTGAATCATCGTCGTCGTCATCAATGGTGTTGCGAATAGCTTTGCGAAACTTCAAGAACCCATCATCGTCTTCCTCTTCTTTGTAATTTGATTCAACATCATTATCATCAAATTTGCTGCAACCCCATTTATTAAAATTCAATCAAACAAAGAATTAAGCAATTAAAATGAAAAATTACGATCTGGGGTTGATTTAATTTTTGAAAAAAGTTGATGTATAAGTTGCTAAGAACACTTACATTGAAGGGTGAGTTGAAGAAGTTCTGCTCATTTTGAATTTTGTGATTTGGGTTGAAGATGGAGTTAAATTTGAAGAATTGTTTGCATTATTAGCGTTTTAATGGAGGAAATGTTTGAATGCAACAGAATATTGGAGGCTTTTGAGAGGTGGAAGTAGAGATTGCTATAATATAGTTGCCGGATCAAGGCTTAAGAAAGTCCAGAATTAATTAATTAATAGCTACTCCACCCTAACACTCTTTATCGATTAATTATCGGGTAGTGAAAACAAACTAGTCTTATGACCGGTGCAACCTATAATATGGTTTGATAAAGGTTAATAAGGGCTAAAAGGAGTGAAAACACAAGGTTAAAGTGAGAAAGAGAATTGGAAAGGTGATGAAATAAAGAGTAGGAAAGAGTGACTTAGCAAAACAACAGTTGGGAATTAATGGAGAATGATGGATAACTAAAGTGGTTGGAAATCCCCTTCCACTTTCAAATGATCAAAGTTCAAATAAAATAATTTCAGGAAAAATAAGTTATAATATGTTTTGATAAGGGTTAATAAGGGCTAATTTAGCGCAATGTACAATTAAAAAACTTCACTTCTAATCAAAAATAGGTGATATAGCATAGATATGCAACTATAATGCATTAGTGCAAATTAGTTCACAAGTTTAAATGATTACTAGCTACCCCGTATGTCATTGAAAATTAGCACGGAACTTGTTGATCCAACAGCTGCAAGTTCAATTGGATAACTTTGTGTGCGTGCAGATTTTACAAAAGGCGGAGGTAGGTAAGGCCATTGTAGGGGAGAGTGTGATCATGCAATCAACTTCTGCCATAACAAGCTAAGAGATGTTAGTTGGATGATCAAAGTTGCACATATCTATAGAGAGGTCATCGCGCCGTGAATCCGTGGAGTAGTCATTCAAGACACAAGATTTTGAATAAGTTTCTTTAGAGTTTAATAGGATTTTAGAAGAGGATACTAAGGGTATAGTCTTACCATGTCTAATCCCTCCTTAGTTCCCCAATCCTTTTGATTGTTTGTATTTTATATTGTACTTTTTTTTCTCTTTTGAATTTTTTCATCATTATTAATAAAATACATATATATTTTCAGCTTGAATCATAGATATTCGAACCACCGAACACTATTATATAGACTAAAAAGTAAAAACTTATGTAGGTTATAGTTTTAAACTTATAATCAAAAGTTACGCATAAGCTTGACATAAATTTAACTCATTCAACCATAATGAAGGTGTTGTTTACATTTTAAAGACATTTATATTTCATCTAAAAGTAAAAATTTCATAACAAATTTAAAATTGCTTAAACTTGTTTGGTAATCAAGAGATATTTTCATAACATGAGAATTTTGACTCAGTAAATGAACTTAATATTTTAACTTGTACTATGTTTTGGGCATTAAAATTTCAATTGATTTTACATAAATTCCAAATTCTTCAAAAACTGGTGCACAAAAAATACCCCCGCCCTCTTTGACTCCAATTTCTCCGGCAGCGGCGAAAGGCTTAACTACTTCAATTCACAAAGGTAATCAGAAGCTATTACATCTTATTTCTGTCTTTTAATTCATTATTCAATTTTATAACTTGAATTATTTTTTTTATTTTTTTTTATTTGGGAAGTTTAATTTGAGTGCTTCGTCGTTGAAGTTATGCTTTAATTCATGACACTGTTGAATGTGAAGTTTACTGTAACAAAGCTAAATTAAAAATTGAAACTTGCTGCAATTTTTAAAGTTAAATGTTCTTAAGTAATATTCATTGACTTGCAATTTAACTGGAAATCGATTAAGTTGAATCAAATCAGTAGTATTATTATCAATTTGTGTTAACAGTACATGGGTCAAGTTTAAATTGTAAACTTTTGAATTGCTAGCTTCTTTATTGTGTAGATTAAAGTATTTGTGGCTAAAATTTCAAGTTTTGTGACTAAATAATTGACTGTATTTATCTTTGTCTGGGGTTTTGCTACATTTGTTATCGGTGTTGGGAAAAAAAATAAAAAATTTGGGCAATGAACTAACACTGTGATATTGATGAATAGTAAGGGTATGAATACTATGTATTGTTTTCCTGTTATAAAATACTTCATATTAGTATAGATGTAGATATGATGGTATCGATGTGATGTGATTTCTTTCTTGTTTTACTAAGGAGTTTATGTGAAAGTTATATTTTTCACTCGTGAAGCACCCGATTCACCCTTGGATTGATTGGATGTAAATGAAGGAGAACTAGGGTGATTGATGGTGGATGGATTGTTGAGTTAACCACCGTCCAATGTATTGCCGACCTTAGTTAGAATACAAGCCAAAGAGCATTTTTCTTTTTACTTACTAGTTTCCCTCAAATTGAGATATTGGGGTTTGAATTGAAAGGAAAGGATTTGTGGTTATATCCATTTTTTTTTTTCTCTAAATCACTTACTAGGTAAATATTAAATAATAGTCCTCTCATTTTCTTTCATTGCTTAACTCTTTTGAATTTAAATTTAATGAATTTCAGATTTGGGGATATTATTTTTGTTACGTTCAACTATGGCAAATGAGGAGGCCAATGATGCAGTGAAGAATCAGCAAATTGTTGATGCTAGAGCTCGAAACATTAGTCATAATGTCCGTTGTACTGAATGTGGAAGTCAGTCCATTGAAGATTCACAAGCTGACATTGCCATTCTTCTTCGAAGGGTATATCCTATTTTCTCACTTTTGCTTCAAAATAGATGCACACTTGCTTTTTTACAGTCTCTAATGCACTATGACCAAGAGTATCTTTGGTTGTGCACTTGTGCATTAATAATAATCATAAAAACAAATACGTAAAAAAGGGCCTTTTTTTATGACACCATGATTATGAACAAAAGTATGTCATTTCCATGTTTAATATGATTCATTCTAGCTTGTAGTTTTTTTGCTGAACTAATAGTGTATGAGCTGTGTTACCCTCTACACACATGATTTAGAAAAGAATGGTCAATTTGTTGAGGTTGCTTTGTTTTGAGAGGGGTTGACAATAATACAATTCTGATTGCATTGCTTTAGAACCCTCTGTATGTTTAAATCCTTCACCCTCTTAATACCTTGTGGTGCCTGAATTGAACTGTGGTCCCCCCCTCTTTCAAGAAAAGAGCAAGCTTGCAGTCAAATTCTCCAGCGTTTTTGTCCTCATGCAAGGTTGATAAGGTATTCTAAGATGAGGGTTGTGTTTACTGTTTATTGTGCAGTCTTTTGCTCAAGTATTATTATACATCTAAGTATTTGATTTCTAACTGTATTCTGTTGACTCAGTGGCCACATCCTTATGACTTATAAACCCTTTTATGCTTAGGTCAGTAAATATTTATGATTGACAAGATTAAGGATTAGAAATAGGTTCAAAATCTACATTTGCATTCTTTATATGTATCACAAAAATATTATCAAAGGTGATGGCTGTTGTTGGATACAGCCAATTTTACTTGCATATTACTGATGCTTTGATTTGGTACAGTTGATTCGTGATGAAATTCGATCTGGAAAGTCTGACAAAGAGATCTATAAGAAGCTGGAGGATGAGTATGGAGAGACTGTGCTTTATGCCCCAAAGTTTGATATGCAAACTGCAGCTCTGTGGCTTACTCCAGTTAGTTTCGAATTCTATGATATGCAATTTTTTTTATTCATTGTATGATTGTATAATTATAAGCATAAGGAAATGATTGTATCATTGTTAACATAAAGAATTGGACAAAGCTTGTTGTTGCAGGCGTGGCTGCTGGAGGTTGGGCATACAAGAAGCACAGACAAAGGACAAATGTTCACATCATGGCTTTAAATCTTGTTAGAGGGGTTGCATTGACACCAAAAGAGAAAGAAACGATGCTTGAAATTCTTACACCACCTTCTTCACAACGAGCAACACCCTCTTTCTGGTTGAGTAAACTTCGAGGCGGATAAAGGTGCATGCACTAGGGGAACCTCTTTGGGCTTTGTGAGGAAGGCAGATTTTTTGTTCGGATTGAGGAGCTAATGTACTCATTGTTGGAACCTTGGAAGCTTTCATGGTGTATTTGATTTGCCTTGTGAAGATTTGTGATGATATGATCATGTTTTGTACAAATACGTCTGACCTCTTTGCAAAGAGTTTGCAATTTTATCTTTTATTGACTATCATAGTATCATGCATAAGATGTTAATCTGTGCGATTTAGTGTTGTCATTGTTATGAAAGCTTATTTGGCTCGGAATCTCTATTATGGGGATTTTTAATTTTTTATACACCTATTATTGCTGTTGTTTCTTTCTCTGATGTTACATTTCACTCCATTTCATTACCCTTTTTTCTTTTTTTTTTTCTTTCACTGTTGGTTTTTCAGGCTGTTTGCTTGTAGCTCAAAGCTTCAATTGAAAGTCCTCATTTCAAGCCTTTATAAATAAGCTGATATTGTCTTCTAATTAATTGCTTTTGTGGTTGTGCATCTGGCTAGGGTGTCACAACTGATCTGTATACTTGCATGTAGTTTTTATTAGTGTATTATACTAATATACTGATGTTATTTCTGTTTTAAAATATGGCACTTAGCTGGACTGTGTTTGCTATTATATTGTATTCACATTCCACTGTGATGCCTTAGGTGTTGTAATTTTTATATTATTATATATGGCAGTCTTTGATAAGTTTAATTATTTTTAGACCAACCACAGATCCTCAGTCGGATCAATAATCTTAAATTTCCTTAATTCCTTATTTTACTGATATAAATTAGACGTGACATGTATTAGCAAATAATAACATAGCCTACATACTACATAGGTGCCTTGCATGTTATTCATTTATTTTGCATGCTGCTGACAGTTTCTCCACTCCCTATCCTCCTGGTCAACTATATATTGCTGTGAGAGGTACAATTTATATACTCAGGAAGCACATTGGTGGTTAGCATTTTTTCTGAATGTTTCTAGAGAAAATGCAGTTGCGGGTCAGCTTTGGCTTTGGATGTTTGTGCCAGATATATTTTTCAGCACTCTAGCAATTGGTAAGACTTAAAATTGATGCATGTGACAGTAGACTTTAAAGATATTTCTTGTCTTCTGATTGCTCTACATTTGCTTATTGCCTTGTCAGCTCAGTTGATAAGACAAGCTTGTGATTTATAAGATTTAGTCCGGAGCTTGGCTGCAGGTTACAAAAGAAGTGTCAGTAGCACACCAATATTGATAGATACTAGGAAAATTTATGCATTTTACAGTAGATACAGATCAGATGAATACTTTCCCAGATCATATTGATTCAGAAATTCAGCCAGTTGTTGAGCCTGTTGAGTCTGATCCTTCAGAGTCTCTGCAAAGAACAAAAAGACTGAAGCAGGTAAAAAGGATAAACAGAAAAAGAAGCTTAATTCCGATGTTGAGGCCGCTACAGGGAACCCTGGACCACTGGATTGTTCAATTGTCGTGAAGACCGGACAAATGGTACGTTTTAGCCATCAAATCTCTCTCTCTTTTTTTTTCTTTTTTTTTTTGTTTTTTAATGCACTTCTTTAATTAAATACTTTTTACAACCCATTTCCTAGTCCACATATGAATTCACTGTGGAAGTGTGTAGTGTAGACTGATTAACTCTTAATCTGTCTTATTTGTTTAACTGAACTTCTTAAAGAGTACACTGTATCTTTTTTTATTTTCATATCCTAAGCTAGCTCAATTGCTGTTCATTACAGATTTTATATGTAAAGACAAGAATATGCTGAAAGCAAGAAATCACACACTGAAATTTAGGTTTTCTCATTCTGCTGATTGTTCATTCATCAATCTACATCGCCAGTCTTCATAAATAGGCGTGCTAAGACCACTAACAAAGAGACAGCACACCCTAGGGAAACTTCCTAGGAAATTTACAAAATAACAGCTACAAAATGACAGCTAGCGAAATAGAAACAAGACAAAACATCCTAAAACAGCAGAAATAAGAAATGAGCAAACATGGTCATATGTGACAACCATCCTTCAACAATATGCTTCTGAACATATATGACATACTTGTATCTTCTTACTGACATTATATGCAACTTGATTACAACAGTGAATGTGTTTTATGCAGCATTGGAACATCATTTTTACCTTGCATAACATTTGGACAAATAGCTGAAGTACTGGACGAAGGGGAATTATGTAATGCCAAAATCTTTCTCCTCTAGTTTAGTTAATTTTGATTTTCATCCTATTCCCAATTTCCCACTAAGGTGGTGGTGAGAACTGCTACTCGTTTCAGATTATATCATCACTATTATAGGCTGCAATGTTTAATGTCAGGCCATAGTATCCTACCTAGCCAAAAATTGTCTAAATTGTCGTGAGACGTAATCCTATCTAGCCACCTGAGCAGTTGAGCTCATTTAAAACAGATTCAATCCTAATGTTTTTGTTAAATTACTACATATCATAGTATACCTGTTGCAATTCTTGCAATGTTATCAAACTGTAGTATTATTTTTTTGCACTCTGCTAAACTCTGTTGTGATGTATGATCTAATCGCTTGTGATTGAGCTCGTTGAAAACAGACATAACAAACTCCTTCTACGGCTGTAACTAATGAAAAGTCAGAATTTCCATTGATGTATATTTAAGCTGCAAAAGTGTCTGTTAGACATCCTTGTACAGGAGTGAAGTTATTGAGACTTTTTCTCTCTTCTTTCATCTTTCATGACTCTAAAACCTCAGTTACTGAATTCTCTAAAAATACAGGACAGAAGCACAATTGTTTCATTCAGGCATTGATCTCTTATGAAGTGCTTCGTATTAAGTTATTTTTTCCATGGTTGATTATTGCAGCATCTCCAAGGGGAAGTTTCATTTACCTGTTGATGATGCCTGCTCTTTGCTCTCAATGGATCATGGGCTCCTAATACAGGAATAAGCTGAGGAAAAATATGATTTGGTTGAAGCTCCTTACACTGACAAGGTCTCGCACTTTTTTTGCTTGAGCTGCTCCCTTTGCAGGATTACCGAGAGTTAAAATTAGAGGACTTGATCCTTCTCTAGGCATTTTCTGCTCTACTCCTTGATCAAATTCGTTCATTTGCAATGTAATTATTTATATTTATTTTTTTTGGTGTTTAGAGAGCCACAAGGGCGGGGGTGAGAATCGATCCCAGGATCTCCTGGAATCGGGAGGGAAGCTCTAACCACTTGAGCTATCCATCACTCTCTAATTATTTATATTTGAATGAGATGAATTAATTTTTTTTTTTTTTTTTTTGTGCTGTATGTTGTAGGCTGGAAAGGTATCCTGGCTCAACAAAAGGGAAAACAAGCTGAAGATCAGCCAACAGAGACTCCTCCAGCAAATCAGGAGATGATCAAGTAAAAAGAAAAATATATATATAATCTTGCTTATTATTTAGACATTATGTAAAAAAAATTTGAGATCTCGAATAAGGCCCTGCTGTCTATGCATATACAATGCTAGCTACCTAAAACAGTGGTACTGTAATGGTCATCCTTATTCTATATGAAGGCTGAAAGGTAAATTGAAGTTATTAGGTGTTAACTCCAACTGCAGCAAAGTGTAGAAGGGTCATCTACCTTACCTTCACTAAATGTATCCTGTGATGAGGGGCGGCAGACGGAGCCCATTCCAGAGTCTCAGTCGGTTCCCATTGTGCAGCAGTCCTTAGGTTCTCCGGTGGTGCATAACAGTTCGGAGTGCATGACTGCCGCCCTTTCTGATGATAATAGTTATATGGGAGGAATGAGTTCACAGGAGATTGTGGGAAAAGTTTGTGATTTTAGGTTTCAGTTGTCCACTTTGCATTCCAGTGCCAGGTCGTTGGGTCAATCAATTCGCCGTCACCATGCTATTTTTCATCCTCGGTTTAGGAAGAAAGGTTCTTCAGTGGATTGTCGTAGTTTAGTTGCAGGTTGTCAGATGGTTCATGTAGGTGCAAAGTGTGATCGCGGGCCTAGTGTGGACTTCAAGTAATCCAACTTGTTTGTTGTTTTTGTGTAGTGTAGTTGGTTATCTTCGTTTTTGTTTGTCTTTCTTTATTCGCACTCTTTGTCCAAAAAAAAAAAAAAAAAAATCCAACTGTAGCAAATTATCATTTCCCACACTCCAACTATATTGTCCAAACTCTGAAGGTCTCAATATACATCGATGTATATGTAACTCGGATAAGTTCCCACATACTTCAACAACCTATTCCCTCAATTTCAAAATAAATGTTTCATTTTGACTGTCACATTTGCTAATGTGAAACTTTAAACAATAACATCTTTAGTTATCAACATTGTAAGCATAAATTATACAAAAAAATTGATTTTCTTTAACACTAAGGCGATTCTACCAAGTATCCATACGAGTCGTATTGATCTTATATAAGCATTTTATATAATAAAAAAAGAACATAATTTGCCTCATAACTTTATACGAAATAATATTTTTTAAAAGGTAAGAAGGAAACTCGTTGAAGGAGCAAACAAGGGAAATTACAAGAAAATACAAGTTTATCACGTCGATAAACAAATTTTGTTAGTCAATTGATAAAACTATAAAAAAAAAATCAATAATTTTTTTATCTAATTTGGACCCACAATTGTTGATATAATTACAAAAATTGTCATATTAACTAGACATTTTTTCAAATGTTTACAAGTTTAACACTTGATAAACGAATTTTGTTAGCTCAAATCAAGATAATAAACTAACTCCCCCCTAGACCACTAGAGCACGAGAATATAACTATATAAGGTAGAAAGCGATACCACTTCTGTAGCTTCCACGACTCGACCACCTCAACCGACTTTTTAAATAGCGGATGTACAATACTTATGCAATAATACTCCACAGTCACTATTTATGGGGTATAAAGACTAGACGGTGGTGCCAAACTAACCATAATTGTATGCTTATTAAATTGCGAGGGAAAACTATCAACTACCCCCAAACAATAGTCACATTAATTTTAGACCCTTGTTTTTGAGGCCTTGACTGGTGAGGGTGGTGAGCTAATTTCATGACAACATTTAATAGAATTTTCAATCATTTTTTCCCCTTAAATAAATGTCGTCTTCATCTCAATTTCCCATGTTTCTTCTTTCCTTCTTCTCGAATCAAGTCTTCTTCTTGCTTCTCTCATTCTTGTCTTTATTCAAGTAAGCCATTTTCCTCCATTTTCTTGTCTTTTCTGGGTAATTTTCCATCATGCAGATAACGTGTTCGATGAATTGCATGCTTTTTTATTTTCTGATTTAATTGCTGTTTTCTGATTAGGGAATTGATCATTACCAAGTTTGGAAATTTGGGTTTTTTCTTTTTGTGTGAATTGTATGTCAGCAGAATTCAGAATATATAGGATGTGATTGTGTAACTTTCTATACATTTAATGGGGTTGAAATTGGTTGTTTTCATTCTAGTCTTTTCTGGGGCATTTGGGTTAAATCTGCTTGATACTGTCATAAATTTGACGTGCAGAAAATGGGTAATTTCTTATATTTATGCCTTTGACTCTGGTTTTCCTGGGATAGTTACACAAATGATTACAATTGAAGTAAACGATGTATGAGATAAAACTGTATGTTTATAGTGAATTGTGAATGGAGTTACTAGAGCTATGACTTCATTCTCAAATTGTCGAAAACCAACTTAACTGCTGTTGAGCTAATGGATTAATCCACCTAAGTGTGTTGTATGATCTTAAAAAATGTAATGAAGAGTTGTTTAAAGGTATAGTTTTAAGGGGGGGGGGGGGGGGTCCCTTCTCTAATAACCTATACTTAATACTTGTAATAATTTAAAGGGGGGAAAGGAGGTTAAAATAAATACAATCTTACAAAGAGATTGTCGAAATTGGATAGCTTGGACAAATGTTCTCTTCAATTAATTATTTTTTCATGTCTATGTGTATAGCATTGAGTTCAAGTTCTATCATGGAGGTGGTAAAAGCCGTTGCAACTCAGTGCTCGTCAGCTAGTAACAATGTCGCTATAAGAGCTGATAGAAAAAGTTACAGCTACAAGCAACTCATCTTGTCTGCAGAAAGGATATCTAGTATTCTGTGTACTAGTGGCTTTCAAAGTGTAAGCTGGACATACTTTCATACTATGATTTTATTATGAAAAAAATCTTTGTGAATCTGAAACTAATTGAATTACAGATTGTCCCATTTTGTTGGGTTTATGTATGTTAATGATCAGGATTTAATGAATGTGTGTTTGTGCCTGTCTCTACACCAGATTTGCTACTCATCCCTTGTTTTTCATGATGATTTTTACTTAAACAGAGTTCTGAAGCAAAGCAGCTTGATCATGCTTCTGTTTCTGTTGATGGCCTTAAAGCCAGTAAATCTCTTGATGGGACTCGAGTTGGAATTGTTGCAAAACCTTCAGCTGAGTTTGTTGCCAGTGTACTGGGGACTTGGTTGAGTGGAGGAGTTGCTGTTCCACTTGCACTTAGTTACCCGGAGGCTGAGCTCCTGCATGTGATGAATGACTCGGTTAGCCCCTTAACATTTACCTTTAGATATGGGAAGATAGCATTTGTGTCCATCAATTTAATAAAATACGCAGTAGATAACTAGAAATTAATTATACATGTTTGACTTCTGGGGCTGGCTCTTAGAATTTCTTATATATGCTGAAATGTCATCATACCTTATTTGTATGGGATCCATTGTTGAACACGTCCTTTATGGCTTAGCCTTTTACTTTTCAAAAGGTAAGGACCAAATGCTGTCTTTTTTTGTTGATTTCTGAAACTAGTTTATCATACTACCATATACTCACTATCGATCCGCTCTCTGCACTCTGACTACAATAAAGACCTTTTTAGTATTCCATCTCTGCTTTAAGTCGAGCATATATTCTCTTTATCCTGACCTCAAATATACTTCCCTGTTGTCAATATGTTATTGGTGTATAGGTTCGCTTTGCAGTAAATATACTTTTCAAATGCATATTACTCTACCATGAAAGGCTTTTGAGCTTCAATTTGTTGTAGGTTTTGTCTTATGGAAGAACTACTACTTCAGGCTTTTGAGCTTCAATTTTTTTTGAGATTTTTTGTTATGGAAGATACTACTACTTCATTCTTTAGTAGAATTACTACAACTTCATCCTGACAAGTTTCATTGGGAAGGCTGAAGTAATCATAGATGTTTTGTCATATAGTATATGTTAACAGTGAATATGTGTATGAATATTCGATTACCTTCTTTCGTTTGCTTGTTTGTACTGGACTACTGGCCTTAGCAAAAGCTCTCCCGAATTTATATTAAGCTATCATCTGAAATTGTCTAAACTTATTCTAAATTTTCTGAAATTTCCTGGTTTTTGATTTAGCTTTTTCACTTTCTGAAGTCGCTGGAATTAAAATGAAATATATCAAAACTTTTACAAGTTGAAGTTTTATCAATACTATTGTTGTTATCACCACCATCGTCATAATATCACTACTTCTAACAAATACTTAAAATCGAATTAAACACTGACAACGAAAATGAACAACTAACGATAATGAAATAAAATCTATATCATTGTTCAAAAAAAAATAAAAAATAAAATAAAATCTATATCAACAAGAAGTTTCTTAAATTGAAAAAAATGAGATGATGTATACACATATTTTTCAAATTAAATGTGCATAATTTGTTTTTCATGGTGAAAATTTTAATTTTGATTTTTGGAAAAATATTAAATATACACATTGTGATAAAGTAATATACACATCATATTTGAGTTACAATAACAGTTGCACATTTTGTTTACAAAATATGCACATTAAATCTTTCTCATTTGACTTCAAATTAGTTAGGGTATTGGATCTTCTAAAGTAACTGAACTTATGCTATACCAAACGTAGCTGATATGATGCAGAATGCAAGCTATGTCCATTTATGACTTAAGTTGGCCCTAGAGTTTGTCTTCATACAAATGTTTGAAGATGGGTATTAGTTTTTAGCGTGCCAATCTGATGCTGGAGCATGTTGCTAACTGATTTCTTCAATTCTTGTGTTGATAATTTGATACCATTCCATGCAATTTCTACATCACTGTTTTTGTTAATGGATCAGGATGTCTCCATAGTGCTGAGTACTGAAGATCACCAGGAGCTTATGCAAACCGTTGCTTCTAAAAGTGCTGCTCATTTCTCTCTTATCCCTTCAGTTCCGAGTTCAACATCAAAAACTACTCCCAATGGTCATCCTGAAAATGAACAGTCGGATGCAAACACAAATTTGAAGGGATTTGAAATCTTGACTAAGATAGAAGGTGGTCTGCTTTTTGTCAGGTTTATGACTGGGTATTTCAACACCTAGGATATGATAGTTAACTTTGTATTTTCTTTCTCATTTGCAGAGGAAGATGCAGCATTAGTCATTTACACAAGTGGAACGACTGGTAAGCCTAAAGGTGTTGTTCACACACACAGGAGCGTGTTGGCACAGGTACTCATCAAATGCTCTAAATTCTCATTCATGGGCTTGAGGTGATGCAGATCTTGAATGACATGCTTAGGACTTATTTTATACGTAGTACTTTTTAGTGATGCATATTGAGATTATCTTGTCCATATTTACTATGAACTGTCGTCCAATATATTGTTTGCTTAAGCTTTCAAAATGTACTTTTCTGTTTATCGTTCCCTTCAATTTTCAGGTCCAAATGTTGACAGAAGCTTGGGGATACTCTTCTTCGGATCATTTTTTGCACTGTCTACCATTGCACCATATCCATCAAATGTGCCTTTTATAAGGCTTGCTTCTTTTTTTTTTTCCCCAGAATCTTGGTTTGTATAGATATCCTTAACTGTTGCCTCACATGTCCACGGTCTTTTCAATGCTCTATTGGCTCCCATTTATGCAGGTGCCACAGTAAGTAGCATTACATCCATATCTAGATTTTGTAAGATATCTTCTATTTGTCAGGGGCCATGTCCTGTGCTACAGATACTCAGGCCTGGCATGACCTTTTTCATCTCTCACGTTTAATTTTTTACAATTGAAGGTTGAGTTCATGCCAAAATTTAGTGTCAGTGGAATCTGGCAGAGATGGCGTGAATCATATCCAGTGGAAGAGACAAAAGTTGATGGTGCTGTGACTGTCTTCACTGGAGTAGGTCTTTTTCTCTAGTCTTTAGTTTGTTCAATCTAATGAAAATTGTCTCAGGATTATAAATCTAATGGTTTTACATATTAGGAAGACTTAAACCACTTGATGGTCTGGTTCTTTCAATAGCTATAACTGCTGTAAAAACCATCTGGTGATGGTTCATTGATCTCCCATGAAAATGCTCTCCCACTTCCTAGTGTGAGGCTAGGGCTACTGTAGATTTGATTCTGCTATGTGCATGTCAGCAGAGTGATTGTTTTATGTAAGGAGGTCCTAATATTATTAATTGTAATTATGTAGGTTCCAACAATGTATTCTAGATTGATACAAGGTTATGAAGCAATGGGCCCTGATGTACAGGCTGTATCCGCCTCGGCTGCAAACAAGTTGCGACTCATGGTAATTGGATCAACCTCTCAATCTGAAAGCTGTGTGGATTAGGATTAATGATTTTAACCGTTGTGTTGAGATGAAATGTTGTCAGATTACACTGATTAGATCTGATTTTATCGACTGTTCTCCGCTACTTATGTGCACGGGATAGTTTGTCAGAAGTAATAACGTTCATTTATCTTCCAGATGAGTGGATCCTCTGCCCTCCCATATCCTGTTATGCAGCAATGGGAAACAATTACAGGGCATCGCCTTTTGGAACGCTATGGCATGACCGAGGTTAGTTTCGCACCATATGTATGTATCACTTCCCTGCTAGGGAAAGGGCATCTAGTGAAAAAAATCTTTGATTGCAATTATTGTGGTTTGGCGTGTAGTTTGTCATGGCACTTTCTAATCCCTTGCGAGGCTTGAGAAAAGGAGGCACTGTTGGCAAACCACTTCCTGGCGTAGAGGTGAGTACTTTCTGGAGTCTAATTCTTTGATGGTGTGTTAGAATTTAGGAGCCATAGAACCATGCATTCCCCATCATTGGTGGTCAGGTTCCGATGTTGTTGCTGTGTTAGAATCATGCTGTCTATAAAACTGTTGTGTTTGTGCTATGACATATGTCCTTAAATTACCTATTTGGGTTAGAAACATTATGTATTAAGTATTAAGAATCTCTCCAGTAGATGTCAGGATCTCTGCTCTACTATACATCTCTGACTTCTTAAGCGATTAATTAATTGACAGGTCAAGATTCTAGAAGAAGAAGGCAGTGGAAATGAAACAGGTGTTGGTGAGCTTTGTGTCAGAAGTCCTTCATTGTTTAGGGAATACTGGAAATTGCCTGAGGCAAGTATTAGCTGTAAAATGACTATACTGATCTAATTTGCTGCACAATTTTCAAGTTCTTGCTTATTTTTCAATCATTATAAAATTTGCTATGTATCTAATAAAATAGTTATTGAATGCAAGAAAGGAGATCTATTAAAGGTGCCTCTGGATCCTAGGATTTTTTTTGTTTATGCATAACATTTTAAGAAAGGTTAAACTATAAATAAAGATGATTTCATTGTTTTTCTGCTCCCTTCTTTGTTCTTTCAATCTAATTCGTTGAACTTCTAGACCTTGCTGCACCAACACTTATCCCTTCAACTCCTCTCCATTAATTTTTTTTCCCAGCTCTACTTCAGTGTTCATCCTCTAGCTCAAAATGACAGTAGAGTTTAACTTAAGGTTTGAGGGTGTTTTTTTTATTGTTCTTCGGATTGCCCGAGCATATGCATTGACCAAGGGTTGTCATTGAAGCTCAAATGCACTCTCCGTCCCAAAATAAAATTCCTGTATACTATTTAAATGCTGTACAAGTTCTTTTTAGTCAAAGTCAATGGTTTAAATATTATTTTTCTTTTTCACTCTCTTTTTTTTTTCCTTCCTCTTTATTATTTCTAACACATAAATTAAAAATAAAAAATCTCTATTTATCCACTTTTTATGATTTTATTATATTGTAGAACTATACTAAAATTTGAACCCATGTAATCAACTAACTTGAGTTTGGTACAGAGTTAGATATACTGCTACTCAATGTGAGAGTGAGGAAGACATTATTTTTTTTGGAATGTTTCGAATCGCTTTGATTTTAAATTGTATTTTTCTTAGATATTACAAAGTATATGGCATGGATTTGAGACCTAGAGGCTCTTTTTGGATTGGTTATTCATTTTAGTCTATTTTCATCACGTCATCTAGGTAACAAAACAATCATTTACTGCTGATGGGTTCTTCAAGACGGGTGATGCTGTCACTACAGATGAGGATGGCTACTTTAAAATTCTGGGAAGTAAGTCAGTTGAACTTAATATCCAACAAAGACGTATGTTAATCCATTATAGTCTACTATTTTGTGCATTCTAAGGGGTTTTTTTTTCTTTTTTTTTTTTTTAAATAAAAAAAAAAAAAAATTCAAATGCTCCCTTGACAAAAGTGACTATTGACTATGGGAGTGATCCCTTAGTCTTCTTGCAACTTATTATTGAGTGCTAGGAATTTTATATTTTTCTAATATAATTTCAATAGGGTAAAAATTCTGAGTTAGTTGATGTTCTATGTAGTTGATTGATAATTTTATTAAGTTCCTGAAGATTATAAAAACCAAACTTCTGTGGTTCTGTCATGCAAATGTATGAACAATTAGCCATCAAGATGAGCATCTTACTGCTTGATATTATCTAGTATCACTGGCGATGCTACTCTCCTTTTTAACACTTCATGAGTTGATATATCAGGCCAATCCCTTGGTGGCACCATAGAAAATTATCTGATTGCTCTCTTGGTTTTCTGATTTCTTGCATAAAATTTGGAATCTTTGAAATAGGTTGAAGAACCAAATTTTCATCATTCAATGATGATTTTCAGCATGTTGTTTGATACTCTGTATATGTTGTGAGACTTGTGACCACTGTTTACAATGTTTGACACTTTCTTAGCTTTAGAGAGTCATATATTGTGCTGTGGACATCACTGATTAACTGCTAGTTTCTTTGATGGCCTTTGGACGGAAGAACATATTTTGCTGCATTTTACTTGAAAAACTGTCTTACTACTGAATCACATGCCAAATTTCAACATCGAAAACTGTTCATACTACTGAGTACTGAATCATGCACACAGAAATTTATATTCATTTTTACCATTATCATGTTGAATAATAATTATAAGCTGTATTCTTTTGTTAAAATTAGGAACAAGTGCTGACATCATGAAAGTTGGTGGCTACAAGTTATCCGCATTAGAAATCGAAGCAGTTCTTTTAGAGGTGAGTTTCATGTATACCTTTAAAGCAGGGAAGAGAACGATATGATGTCAGATGTATAAATCTTTCTGCTGTTGAGGTGTTATAACCTTTTGGGTCATTTTTATTTATCCAGGTTAATGGGGCCTCACACTTGTTCTTCTTGTGAGACCCTGAAACAAAATTGAGTAAGAAAGTTGCTGATTCAGTTTCATAAAAAAATTATCTGTTATCCCTTAATTGGCTCTTTTTTTTCAGCATCCTGCAGTTTCAGAGTGCTGTGTATTAGGGTTGGCAGACCAAACTTATGGAGAAGCTGTATGTGCGATAATTGTGCCACCGGCTGAGATCAAGAAGAAACAACAGGAAGATTTGAAGCCCGCTTTAACCCTAGAAGAACTCTGCTCATGGGCAAAAGAGAGGCTTGCTCCTTACAAGGTATTGACTGTTCTTCCATATAGATTCCTATTGTTAATTTGCTATTGATATAGTCTGATTGCGTATTCATAGTTTATACTGAACTTTTGGTAGAAATCATATTTAATCTGACACTATTGCGTTTGTGATTGTCATTTAAATTTGAAGCTACCAACAAAGCTATATCTTTGGGAAAGCCTTCCTCGTAATGCTATGGGAAAGGTAAATGACAAAGCCCAAAGCCTTTTGTTCCACCCTTCGCTCATGCCCTTATATTTAGCTAACTTTTGTACAAGCGTAAAACATAGTATATAATTTGTGACTCGATTTCAGGTGAACAAGAAAGAATTAAAGAAAACACTATCTGCTGAAGGGTAATTTCACTAGTCTGCAATGAGCCAATGATAGCTAGCAGTTCTGGAAGCAGTCTCTGTAGGTTCCAGTTAAAGAGAAGCTTGCAAGGTATAGCTAAAATTATGTGATATTGAAGAAAATTATTTTCTCCAGGCCACTGTGTGACGACCAGATGCTGTCGACTGTGGCATCACACACCGGCAGGGAGTCCTATTTTTTATTGTTACAGGTGTATGGTATAAGAATTGATATCCAAAGGGCATAAGAATTATTCTTCCCACATACAGAAAATTTTGTACTGGTATCAGCTTAATAATCTATTGAAGTAGGAAATTAATTTTACAAGTGTCATTCATCTCGTTGCTTAGCATTTATGTTATCACTTATCATGCTATACCTACAATCAACCACAGGCCTAAAGTAAATTTCTGCCAAATGAAAAATTTCAGCACATGTAAAAAATGCAATATAGTATTATTATTTGAGAACAGCAATTCAGCACGTGTCGAAAGCAATTATCCATGGAAACTACAAGGTAATGCCCTAATGGTGGAAGGTGGAACCACCCAAGACAATGTCAAAAGTGTAAGGAAAATCATTACCACGCATACTGGAAAGTGGAAACCCCATGCGAAAGCAATTTTTGAAGCTCCTTTCAATTTGGATTTTACATCACACCGTCCAATGTATCGGATTCCCTATACACATACTACCTCCGTTTTTTTTTCAGTTGACATGTTTTGACTTTATCACTACTTACACACTTCTCTTTAACCTTATATTTGTGATTTATATGCAATGAAAAATATAGTCATGCAGGGTCTTGTTAGATTTGTCAGGGTATATATTTTCATAATATCAACTTTTTATAAATTTTGATTATTAATAATTGAAGATATTGATGGTTGAATTTGTGCATTGGCAAACGTGACTAAAGAAACATGTCAACTAAAAAGAAACGGAGGAAATATAAGATTTCACTTATTCACTTGAATAATTTTATAACTTATTAACAATTTTCTTCTTTTCTGTTTCTATGACTACATCATTTCATTCATGTTTTGAAATCTAAACATAATGCTCTCATAGAGTGATTAACTGATTACGACATTGTACAAACTCTCACAGTATTATCATGATTGTGTACAAACTTTCATAGTAGAATTATGATAGCATTAGCAATCCCAAATTCCCAATATCTTATCTATCCCAAGACACCTAACTTGGCTCACAATAAGATCATGGCACATGATAGGTAATGCAGGCATAAGTAGAATTACTAACATGCGTTTTGGCGGTAGAGAACGAGTGATGATGAAAAAAAAATTAGCCCATCACAAAACCATCCTAACATTCCTAACATACACGCACACTATGTAGTACAGACTACAGAGTATATGATATCATGACCGAGATCACTTCCCCTATCATGGTCCATAAGTGAGACGAGGTCATTTTCTGCATCTCGGAGATGAGGCATCAGCCTTCTGGAGAGGAACGGAGAATACAGACATCAAACCCTAAAAATTCATGTCGTCCAGTATTATGACAGTAAATTCTCTCAAGAGATATCATAATTCAACAATTTGAAAGAGAGCAAAGAAGAAATGATTTAAGTTAACCAGTAATAATAAAACGGGTTTCTAGTAGTGTACATACGAGCCATTTCCCCCACAATTGATTCGGTTCCATTGAATCCAAATCGACCAAAATGATCACATATGAGGGTCATAAAGATACACAACATTATTATGCTAAAAGCACTACATAGTACAGTACAACGGGTAGAACTTAGAAGCAACAAACATCAGTTGAGCTTCTTCACAGCAGTACTACAATTTGCAAATTCACAAGGCTTTGAGAATTTCCTCAGCACTTGAGACAGAGAATTGCCCACCCGATTCAATATTTGCAACCTTCACCTTCAGATCATCAACAACGAGAGCATACCTCTGAGAACGGATCCCGAGTCCATGTGCTGAAAGGTCGAGGTCAAGGCCAAGGGCACGAGTGTAAGTTGCACCACCATCAGCAAGAAACTTCACATGCTTGTTGTCCGGGTATTGCTTGGACCATTCTTTCATCACAAAGTGATCATTCACTGATAGCAGAAAGAGAAACACATCACAGTCAGAATCTGAAGAACGAATTAAACGAAAATCATGTTTCTAACAAGAGGATAGTTACATTACCACTGATACAGATGATTTCAGAGACTCCCTTAGACTTCAATTCCTCAGCCTTCTCAATGAATCCAGGTACATGCTTCTGACTACAATACAGAAAAGAAATTAGTCAATCCCACCACTTAAAATCGACACTTTAGAATACAATAATTAAAATCAAGAATCGAAATTCATTCACAAGCAGTGAAGCTTTAACAAGAAAAATGATAATCACAGACTATTACCGCGGCATATAAGATTAGAAGAGCCAAGCAACCTGTTGAAACCCATTGTAACCCACTCGTGAGTGTCCCACATTGGAGAAAGAGGAGAGGTGGTTCCAGTTATTCCTACTATTGTCAATTGGTTTTAGCGTGGAAGCTCCAAAGCCTAGTTTGTGGATCAAATTCTACTCCTCCTTGTTCGGGTTGCCCATGCCCATTTCTTAAATTAATGTGAGACCGTCGTCATAAAATTATTTAAAGAGATCCAAATACAAAATCTGGGTTAAAAATTACTTCAAAATTCCTTTTTTTTTCATTTATCTGGATGGAATTTTTTTTTATACTACAGGCAGCTTATCATCTATGTTACTCGATCAACCTCAAATACCCGTGTTGGATTCTTAACACTCCACATCCGGCCAAAATGGTGTGTGTTTTTTTTAAACAAAATAGTCGATTCATACACTTGAACACGTATTCATCAGAATAGCATATATTTAATTTAAACATAAAATCTGCTTCCAATTCCAATAAAATAAACCCATACTCACTAATCCACATGCTTTTTTAATTTCTTAATTAATAAATCAAACTTTTCACATTTATTACACATTCACACTATTATCATTTACTATTGAATTCATCCAGATCCAAAATTAAAGAAAAAAATCAAAACCCAGGAAAAACAAAAACAACAAATTCGATCAAAATATCAACAACCATAAAAAGGGTCAAATGAAAAACAGAAAAGTCAAAGGAGAGAGAAGGAAAGAAACCTGCAAGTAGGAGTAAAAGCGCCGGGAACAGCGAAAATAACGACGGTTTTACCGGCGGCGAGAGAGTGGACGAAAACTTCTTGCCTTTGATTGGTTTCGTCGAGGAAAAACAGCTTTCCGTCGGGAATACTGTCGCCAACTGCAATGGGTGCCATTTTTTTTTATTTTTTTTTTTTTTTAGAATTTCGATGAATTTTTTTTTTTAGTGAGGTTGAGGTTTTTTGGGGGGTTAAATGTAAAATATGGGGTTTTTATATATAAAGCACTGTTTGTATTTATATTTATGTTTGATTGTATTTATTGCAACTTCTAACCTTTTTTTTTAGCTACTCCTTAATAAATGGGATATTTAGCTATTTTTAAATGTTGTATCACGTCCGATTTTGTATTAGGTGGCATTGTGGTAATGTGCTTCTGTACTTGGTGAGACGGTGTCACCAAATAGTTTATATATAGGATTCATTATCTAGAGCGGGATAATACTTTCTTCGTTTCAAATTAATTATCGTTATTTTTTTTTTGTTAATTTTGACTTTATCGCTGTCCAGATGATTAAATGTGTTTGGAATAAATGATATTTTGGATTTTTATATTGAGATGGATTTATTAGGGGTTGTGTCAAGATTTCAAATAGATATATGTGGCAAAAGATCAATGACTATGGGTGTATGACAACTAATGGGAAGAGATTGTCAGATAATATAAACTCCTTGATTAGAGTGATTTCCATTGATCAATATTTATAGGGTTACAATGAGAAACCTAATCATATTAGGTAACTGATAGAGAATATCCATAGAATATTCTTATCTTAGGTTTAGGATATATTTTGTATAAGATTATCTTTGATATCTTTACATATCTTATGTCAGATAATATAAACTCCTTGATTAGAAAGATATCAAAGATAATCTTATACAAAATATATCCTAAAAACCTAAGATAAGAATATTCTATGGATATTCTCTATCAGAGATTTACATGAGAGTGGTAAAATCAAATAAAACAAGGGATATGTGTGAGGGTTTTGGAAATTTGGGGAAGAATCACTTTATATAAGGAAACAAATCGCTTGATTGACAAAATCTTATCAATGCTCTCTATTGATTGTGAATAGCAACCTCAATTCAACAATTTTTTTTTTAGTCTAACAACTTACTCTTCGTGTTTTTTTAAGTTATACTTCTCATTTTCGGCCGTGTTTTTTTTAAGTGTTACACTTTCTTTTATGGCAAAAAACTACATTAAAATATTATATTTCTCTCCTTTCATGGTCCCCACCCAAAACCACTACTACTTTTTTATTATATTTTTCCTCTCACATTCATTACTTTTCAATAAACTATTAATCCCACTATCTTTATTTTACAATATTATAATACTCCAACTACCCCACTTACCTCTTATTTTAAAATATGTTAACATCATATAGAGTTTACCAACACTATTTAGGCTATGTTTGGATAGCAAAAAATGAAAGGAAAGGAAGGGATAGGAAAGGGAGGGAGACAAACTTCCTTGTTTGGATAATATGTTGGGGAAGGAGGAATCCATTTTCCCTCCTCCTTTAATACAGACCATCCCTTCAAAATTGGAGAGATTTAGAAGGAAAATGGAGCTCATCAGTTCCTCCACTTTTCCTTCCTTCCCTTTCCTCCTATTTTCCTCCCTTTCATTTCCCTTCTAATTTGTTATCCAAACATAGCATTAGAGTTTAGCAAAACTAGGATGAGTTTTCCCAATTATCATATGCATCCAAAAAAAAAAAAACAAGGTTGATATTGAGATAAGAATGTGTATATATTATGAGAATAATACCATATAAGATTAAAGATATTATTGTGACAATATTCTAGAGAATATGTGAAAAGATATATGTATGAGATATTGTGATAGTTTTATAAAGTTACAATATATAGGAATATTAGGGTTAGGTATTCCGATCCGATTATTTATAAATATTGTAATGTGATTGATTATTATGAATGGGAAAATACAATGAAAAAATACAGAGAGAAATATTTTCCCCAATATTTAACGAACCTGTCGATGACATGTGATATATTCTTGATTAGCAAGCACAATTGTATGTCTTGATTATCATATGAAACAAAACTAGGATGAGTTTTTTCAAACTTATTTAACAAATGGAATTGTCGGTCGTTCGAAAGGATAAAAAGGTTGAAATGGTGCAATTGTGTAGCTAAGAAAATTATTCAAGTACAAAAGGTCAAGTGAAGCAAGAGAAGTTTAAAAATTATTATATACATCCGAGTATATGGTGCATCCAAGGGTATTATTTGCTCATTTCAATGATTATTACTCAATTTGTCATCAAAAAAGAAAACAATTATTTTTAGATATACTGTATATCCAGATGTATATAACAATCTCTTACAGAAGTCGGTGAGTAAGTGACTGGGGTTTTGGATTCTATAGGTAATGTAATGTAGGCTAGGTTAGTGAAATGTCAGAAGTAGTAGTAGAAATTGGGCCTTGCTTTCCGGTTTATGAGGGAATGAAACATGGCGAATAATCACATCCAACATTCCAACTCTTAATAGGGGTTTCTGATTGTTGGGCCTTTTTCTTCCGGTTTTCGTGGAATACCCACGTTCCACAACCCTTAACTATATGCCCTGTTATGGGAAGAAAAATCATTCAATTTTGTCTACTCTTTGTTCTGTACTTCTGTTTATATACTTTGCTGATTTGCTCTTTTTTATTTTGGAAAGAAAGAAAAGCTACTACGGGCCTGTTCATATTTACTGAGCTGAATTGTACTGAACTGATTAGATTTGAACTGAACTGATTAGATTTGAACTGAACTGAATTGAATTGAGCTGAAATATCTTAGCTGAACTGAATTGAATTGAGCTGAAATAAATATTTTATGAGAGAGGGAAATTAAGAGCTGAACTGAACTGAACTGATTGGAGCTGAATTGAACTGAAATTAAGTAAATGTGAACAGGCCCTACCTTCGGTCCAAATTTCTCGTAATTTTCGGATATTATTTGTGAGATATAAAATATTTCAAAATTACGACTAATTTAAACCGGAGGTAGTATAAAGGTAGATGTTTTAATTGATAAGGAGCTCAAAGTCATAAGGTATGTGATTGTATTTCGTATTTCTTTTTGTGTAAGATCATCATGTTTGATGTTTTACACGGCTATTAAAAAAATAAGATAGTGAATAACACTAATTAGATGTCATATGTACTATTTATCAAGTTGTAAGGGTAAGGCAATAAATATATTTTAAAATATAAATATTTGAATTTAGAGTAGGTAAATACGAATTATTTTTTAAATAGGAACAATTGCTAAGTAATCAATTATTTGTATTGTATGGGGAAAATGTGTAAAAACAACACAAACGTAACCTTAGGAAAGAAGGGAGTAGATGTTTTGAGGAATCAAAATTATACGAAATATAATCTTAGGGCCTGTTCTCTTACATTGAAATTCAGTTCAGTTCAGCTCAGTTCAACTCATCTCCTAATTTCCTTCTCTTATAAAATATTCAGTTCAATTCAGTTTAGTTCAGATTAGTTCATTTAGCTCAATTCAGTTCAGTTCAGCTCAGTTCAGTTCAGCTCAGTTCAGTCAATGAGAACAAACCCTTATTTTGATATAATTTACGTGTTAGAAATAAGTCAAAATTAATTGAATTTAACTAATAAATGATCATTTACAAGAATAAATTTGAAAGTGTGGAAGTGTCTAAAACATTTTTTACTCCATACATCAGTACTACGAGCCAGTTAGTATTAGTGTAGAGTTTGTTGACAAAAAATATTGCAAATGGCATCAGTGGAAAGAGAGAAATACCTCAATTACATATACATACAGCATTAAATTCCAATACAAGCAAAAAAACCACCAAAAAAAAACCTATAAAAAACATTTCTAAGAACAAAATACTTTGTCATAGGTCAAGCACAACAATCAGCTATATTCTAAATCATATTTTACTTATACTAAAGTACAGAAATCCACCATTGATTTTATGTAATCTTACCAAATATACATCAAGCTCTTAATTAATTTAGTTTTAATACATCAAAGGCTTCTTTACTGTCTTCTTTCTGATGCTGACTTGTGCTCTTAAGCATAGCCAACTTTTCTTCATCATCAACCTTCTTTTGTCGCTCTTCAACGGGTCCGTAAGCCCAGCTACAGAACACGAAATAGAGTATGTTCAAGAAGCAAATTGTTGCTATAAGCCAGTAAAAGTAGTCGTAGTGACCCTTGTTGATGTTGCTCGAAACCCAACTGTCCTTTCCTCCGTGCTTGGTAATATCGTCTACTAAGTTCAATATTACACTACCTAACAAGCTTGCGATTGCCATCCCAACCCCAAACAGACATGTTGCTATGCTAGACATGCTCTTAGGCATTTCCGAGTAGTAGAACTCTGTTTGTCCGATACCATTGAAGGCCTCAGCTAAGCCACTAAAGCAATGTTGCACTACAAGCCAAAAGGCGGACATGTGAAGCACTCCGTCAGGATTGTTGGCAAATCCTTGACTGATTGCACGTCGTCTTCTTATGTTTTCCACTGTTCCAGCGACAAACATGGACATGAACGCACAAAATAACCCAATCCCCATCCTCATCTTCACACCAAGGCGAGCTGGCTTGCCACGGATCTTTGATGCTACTGGAAGGATCACACGATCATATAGAGGAATCCATAGTACTATAACAATGATCAAGAATGTACTGAATGAAGCAGCTGGTACTTCAAATGTAGGGCCCAGGTGTCGATCCATGGTTTTCGCCTGGAGCAGACCAAATGAGCCTAGGTTTGTATGTAAGGACATAATGACCCCAGTTGACCAAATCGGAAGGACTCTGATGAGAGACTTGAGCTCTTCAACTTCTTCCACTGTGCACAGTTTCCATGAGTTTTTGGCTAATCCGTCAGGGCCAATGTCTTGGCTGGGATCTTGAATGATACAAGCTTTGTTCAAGCACCTAAAATCAAAAGATTAAAACAGGTAAGATTTAGATAAAGAAATATAAACCACTCAACATAATATCCTAAAACTATGTAGAATACTATAATTTGGAAAGGTCTAAAACAGGACAAGATTGACAGAAAATTGAATATACAAACTTTAAACTAGTAGTAGATTTTTTGCAATTCAAAACAGACCTTAATCTATCACTTGGAACAGCTGTTGTGGAATCCTTCCTGTGATAATACTGCACGCTTGACCCTTGGGGTGGTAGCGTCATTTTTCTGTTTCTGAAAGAAGCAACAGCTGCTTGTACAAGACCGGTTAAAAGACTCTTTTTAACCTTACTAATCACATAGTAAGGAGAAGCAAGG